ACACACACACTGGGGCAGCCGGTCCATGTTCGGCCTGGCAGGTCCTTGATCTGGGGATGCAGCAGTTGGTCCTGGCCAGAAGGGTACACTAACACCCCCGGGGCTGAAGGCCAATTGAAACACTTAGGTCAGGACCTGGCATGGCTTGGCTCAGGACGCTGGCCTCCAGGGTCCCTGCCCGCACAAGGCCTAAATCCTCTTGGCAAAAGGTCAGGGCACTCACAAGTGAGAAAAGAAGGGACAGGGAACAAGGGAGGACATGTATACACCCTTCCTGGAGATGTGAAAGCAAAGGGTGTGAGCACAGCAGGAGCTGAGCCTGAAGACCAGCTCCCAGAGACCAGGTGACCCCCAGGAGGGAAGAGCTCACCAGGGGCCACAAAAGAACCACCCCAGGAGTTCTTCCCTGCAGCAGGCTCTCTGGACCCTTGGGGTCTAAATGGAAATGCTCCTCATTTCTGGCTTTGGCAGACAGGCTGCCTGTGGTGGGCAGGTGGACAATTTGGGGGGGGGGGGCTCCTTTCTGTCAACCCAGCTGCTTTGAGCTGGAGGCAGCCTCTTCACACTTCGTCTGGCTTTAGTGGAGACCTGGAGGGAGAGTCAGGGGTGAGTGCAAGCCAGGGCCGTTCCTTCTCCTCGCCCAATTTCTGCTCAGGGCCTCTTGATGGAAGGTGGCCAAGAATACCCAAGTCTGAAAATCAATGTATGGCCAGTAATCTATCTTTGGTTCCGTTCCCAGGTTTACCATTAGGTCCTCTCCCTTCAGGGAGGTGCATCCGGGATCCTTGGGGGCGGGCCTGAGTTGGACCCTAGAGATCCCTAGGGATGGCACCATGCCTGCCACACTTGGATTCCTGGGTGAAGGACTCCCTCTGCCCTGCCTCCTTCATCTGGGTGAGGGCCTAGGTGAGGGGCGCTGCCCTCTGGGCTCTGCTTGCGCCCTCTCGCTGGGTTGCTGGGTCCCCTGGCTCCTGGAAGGTGGGGTTCCAAGGGTGCTCCCTGAGAATGTCACTGGCCCGCCTCTCAGGCCATCAACTTCCAAGGAACTCCGGTGCCCACTTTGGAGGGGGCTGGAGGGTGGGGAGGTGTCTCTGGCCAGGCCGCACCTGTGCTCTCTCCCAAGGAGAAGGGGCGCCAGGCCAAATGCCCCTAGGCCCTGGCCTGGGCTCTGTCCCAGCAGCTGCAGCTTCCTTTGTCCCGCCCAGTCATGGCGGCCGCCATGGTTCCCAGAGAACCTTGGCTTCCTGTGAGCAGGGTGTCGGGCGCCCTGTCCTCACAAAAACCCATCTCGACAGCTTCCTTGGGAACCTGCAGTGCCTAGGCAAGCTCTTGAGCTCCCGGGATCCTGTCCTCTGTCCTTTGCAAGTCCTCACTCTCTTGCTACTTTCTTGCACTGGAAAGAATGGCGAGGGGCTCACGGATGCACAAAGCCATTCCGCTTGATGGCAGTATTGCACCACAAATGCCAACTTGTCCTCTTCCCTCCGCCCTTCGGAAAGTAAAAAACTGTTAACCCGTGTCCCAACTGCATGCACAACAGGCCAGGCTGGCTCAGGCTCCTGAGGCCCAACAACAAAGGAGAGTTCCCTTTCTGGAGAGTCCATTCCAATGGAGAAATTCTGGAAGAAATGGGTCCACAATCGATTCATGGCAGGCCACTGGAAAGCTTAGGCCTTCTAAATAAACAAGACCCAAGGAAGGGGTGTATTTCTCCACACTACCAGTGTGGCCATAGCTGGGTATCTTGACTAGCTGAACCAGAGGGTCTCAGTAAAAGCAGAGGCACTCAGAGTCCCAGACAATGAATGGGTTGGCATGAGGGCACCACTCTCAGGATTGAGGTGATCGAGGTCCGTTTCCCTCACTTCTCCTAGGGAAGCCTCAGTAGAGCGAGGAGACAACAGACAGGAGTCCCCTGTTGTGTATTAACAATGAGTAGCCTTGTTTTGGGATGACTAGCTGTGTCCTCTGTATGTGTTAGAATTCAATGTCCAAAAAAGAGACTCAAAATTATCAGAGTTAATATACCATTTGGAGGTGTCCCTAAGCACTGTGGGTAAATACAAACTGGAGAAAGTGTACCACCTATAATAAGTTCTTAGTCCCACACCTTACACAATAAACTATAAGAATTAAATGTACAATAAAGAGTATCATATAACACAAAAAGTGATTGACTGAATCCTTTATAATCCTGGAACACAGATATCTTTTCTATGAAAACCTATCAAAGAAGACATGAATAAAGCCTAAGCACAGAAAAAGATTCCCCACTTACTAATAAGGAAAGTCTAAACCAGCCGTGGGCAAACTACGGCCCGCAGGCCGGATCCGGCCCATTTGAAATGAATAAAACTAAAAAAAAAAAAAAGACCGTACCCTTTTATGTAATGATGTTTACTTTGAATTTATATTAGTTCACACAAACACTCCATCCATGCTTTTGTTCCGGCCCTCCGGTCCAGTTTAAGAACCCACTGTGGCCCTCGAGTCAAAAAGTTTGCCCACCCCTGGTCTAAACCAAGCTTGCACTGTTTAACAAGGTTATACATATCATGTCCTGTCTCTGTGAGGGTTCTGAATTACCTATTATTTCTTGTCCTGTCTTGGGTCTGTTTCAAGTGGCTCCTAGTCATCACTTACTACTTTATTGCAAGGATTTCTCCTATACATGCAGAGAGCCAAATGCTATCTCGTAAGTAGATGTTTCATACAGCTGTGGGGCCAATTACTTTGTGCTCTTTATAGTTAGAATGGGTATAATCCCAAAGTACAGTGGCCAAAAGAGGCTTTTAGAGACTTGGGTCAGCCTGGGCTAAACCTACTCTTGCTCCAAGGGGAAGGGATACCACCCAAATGCCTTCAGCCACTGGCCTGATTTCCTCCTGAAGTGCAGCTTCAGTCAGTCAATTCCAGAGTGCAGCCACAGGGGTCCCCAGCCTTGCATCCAGTGCCCCACCCACCAGGCACCTCATTCTAGGGCCTTGTCTCAATGCTCATCCCTTTAGCCAACCTGGCCATGATACACACATACCTGGTGGCTGCAGATCTCTGGACCTCTGAGGAGCAGTGGTGGAAGGTGCATCCTCCCTTTTCTTCCCAGCTTCTTTGACTTCACTGCCTGGTTTGGTATCTTCTTCCCTGGAAGCCAATTGCAGGGCTCATGAGATTGGCAAACGGGTTCCGCTTGATGGCAGTATTGTACCAGAAATGCCAGCCTGCCCTCTCCAAGTCCTCTCTGCCCTTTGCTGAAGAAAAAAAGTCAACCCTTGACCAACCTGTCTCCAAAGTGTAGGCTCACCTTGTTGGCCAGTTTTGGGGGACAACACCCACTTCTAGGGCTCCATGGAGCATAGCTCCTCCCTGGTAGGTCCTTGTATGCTGCCTTTATGACCAAAAAGCAACAGCTCCTCATTGAGGCACGCAATATTGGGCTTGAACCTACGTGTGGGTATATCTTTAGCTGTGTAGAGCTGCTACAGCGTTGGGACAGGTTCAAGCCTGGGACTAATGAGAGGGCACAATCCTCTCATGGCAAAGCCATGTGCAAGTCTCAGCACAATTATAGCCAAAGGCTATAGTTGCAAGCTTGACCTTATGGTCCAAACCTGTGGTCCCACGTGGCTGAGTGATATGGGCTGTGGGAGGTGCAGCAAGTAAACAAAGCATGATCAGGTGCATGTAATTGAGTAGATTCGAAACCCACGAGAACATTGTAACCCTGCCCTTAATTTGCCTCATGGAATCTACACTAATAAAAGAGAAACATGCAAATTGGTGTCACTCCGCTATGCCCACCAGCCAATCAGAGCGACTATGCAAATTAACCCAACAAAGATGGCAGTTAATTTGCATACACAGGCGCAGAGTGAAGACTGAAGGCTCCAGCCCGAGTGAAGAGTGAAGAGTGAAGACTGAAGACTGAAGCTGCAGCGGAGAAGCCAAGCCTTGCTGCGTCTGGACCAAAGGCCTGGGTCCCGGGTGCCGGAGGAAAACCAGTGCCAGCAGCCAGGGGAAGGAAGGCCTATTGCGCGAATCTTCATGCAACGGGCTTCTAGTCTGGCTATAAAATAAAGAGATGGCTTGCAGGCTATGGCACTGTCTCTCCATCAGAGAGTCAACGTCCCACCCAGACCCAGCTTTATTCTCTTGTCTATCTTTTCTTAATCCTTCACCACCCCCTCTCAGGCTCACTGAACCTGGCTGTGCTGGCACGGCACATTTAGCACTGGAGGTTTGCATGAAACCTGAGGAAACATTCTGAGCTTGGGCACAGAATCTGAGCCACTGCTATCTGAAACCCCAAGTAGGGCACATTCTCACCAGAGCCTGCTCATAAGGCAGCAAGAGTGGCCAACCTGGCCGAGGCCTCAAGCAGCCTGACACAAAGGGCAGGGGCCTACAGGCACAGGAGAAGGTTCAAGACTGAGGTTCAATTCCCATGGCAGAATGAGGGAAGGTCCTGAAGACTTGGCTCTTCTTCCATAGGCGCCCCCCCCCCCCCCCCCATTCAGCCAAGGACACATGCGTCCTGGTGCCTGCCCTGGGTCAATCTCTTGACAGCTTCCATGGGAAGGCTTGAGGTGGGAAACACCCAGGTGTGTGTATGCTTGTGAGGACTCCCGTGCTTTATGGTGGAGTGACAGGGAGGGCTATTGCATAAGATTGATATGCTCTTTCCCCTAAATCTGCCCACATTCTAAGACAAACTCCTCACCATCACATCAGGTGCCCCTGGAAAACCTGCCTGTTAAGCCCAGGGTGGATTATAAAGAGAAAAACCACACACTTTCTCACACACATGTGCATTACGGGAACACTCTGACCAACCAGGTAAAGTGTCTGATAAGTTAAGAAGGGAGAACAGCTCTCCCCCGCCCCAGCCTCCTTGTCCATCTAATGATACCCCACAAATGCTCACTTTGGAAACAACCAGTAGACACCTGCCCCAAGAAATGCAACGCTGATCCCTGAGACCCTCTCACTGACTCAGGCCTAAAGGGTACAGGGCAAAATGGAGGAGAGCAGCCTAGTGGGAAGCACTGCCTAGACCAGCAGTTCTCAACCTGTGGGTCGCGACCCCTTTGGTGGTCGAACGACCCTTTCACAGGGGTCGCCTAAGACCATCCTGCATATCAGATATTTACATTACGATTCATAACAGTAGCAACATTACAGTTATGAAGTAGCAACGAAAATAATTTTATGGTTGGGTCACAACATGAGGAACTGTATTTAAAGGGCCAGAAGGTTGAGAACCACTGGCCTAGACTGAAATAAGAGGTGGGGGTAGGATTGCCTTCCTGTTTGTATGTGCCCACTGCCTACGCACCTCTGACAGTGTGTGTGTGTGTGTGTGTGTGTGTGTGTGTGTGTGTGTTTATGTAGAGGAAAGGCAGTACCAGCCCCAGAGCTTCATAAGTGGATGATTGGGATGGCCAAGTAAGGTTCAAGTAAGGTCTGTGTGCCCAGGAGTGTGAGCCTCCTTCATGGAGCTGCCAGGCACGCCTGATCATTGGTAGAAAAGAGGGTGGGCCTGCTGCCCAGGGCCATATCCAACAGCACTGAGCCCTTTTGGTGGGCTCTCAACCCTGGTCCAATGACCACCAGCTCTGAAGCACGCATGGGATTGAGACATAGAAGCAAGGGTCATTCTTTCTCCATGCTCTGAAGACTCACTGGGTCTTGGAGAAGGTGGCCCAGAAACTTGAAGTCTGCCATGGCATTGACCTGGGGGACTGGTCCACCTGGAGTTGAATCTGAACAGAAGGGTGAAACTCCTTGAGATGGCACTGCTTTGTCAACCCAGGCCTGGAAGGAAGGGGCTGCTGCTTCCACATTGACTCTTTCCATTTAGGGCCTGTGCCTTCTGGACTCTGCTAGGGAGAACACCCCTCACACACCCCCTCCCCCCACTCAAGGATACATTGCCCTGAAGCGCCCCCCACCATACACTAAAAAAACAAAACAAAAACACACACACCTCCAGCAACCACCTCAAGCCCCCCTGACATTGGGGAGCCAAGCTCTATACTGGATCCCCAGAGCCACACAGGACATCATGGGTCCAGCCTCCACCCAAGCTGCCAATGACAGCAGCTTCGCAGTGGCCTGTGGCTGGACAGCATGGAATGCAAAAGAGGCTTCCAGGGCCCAAAGCCTGTCTGGTGCCGAATGTCCTCTTGCTCTGAGTGCAAGGGACCAAATGCCCACAGCCCCTGGCTGAAGCTCCTGGGCTCCTTCTGACTGGGCTGTCTCTGCCAGTGCAGCCCAGACATGGCGGACGCCAGGTTCCCCAGGCTCAGCTTCCTGTGCTGGACCTGCCAGTTACCAGGCCCTTGTGACTTAGCCACACATTGCCCAAGGCTCGCAGAGCTTTGGAGCTTGGAGGAGGTGTGGAGTGAAGGAGGGTCAAAAGTCTTATCTGCGCCTCTGAGTTCACAGCCTTGTGGCTCTGAACCGAAATAAGGGTGCAAAACTCATGGGATCAGAAACAAGTTCCGCTTGATGGCAGTATTGCACCAGAAATGCTAACCTGCCCTCTTCAAGTCCTTTCCCTCCACCCTTCGCTGAAGAAAAAAACGCCAACCCTTGACCAACTTCTCTCCAAGGTGGCAGCTCAACTGATTGGCCAGTTTGAAGGGCAAACACCCACTTCTAGGGCTCCATGGAGCAGAAGCTCATTCCTGGTGGGTCCTTTTAGCCTGCCGTGGTGACCAAAAAGCAATAGCTCTTCATGGAGGCACCTAGAAGTGGACCTGATCTTATAGGTAGCTAGTTTTTTGTTTTGTTTTTTAAACAAACCTTTGTGTGGAGGGCTGACTTTCAATAGATCGCAGCAAGGGAGCTGCTCTGCTACGTAGAAACCCTGACCCAGAACCAGATCATCTACTGAATGGCTTAGTACCAGGTTCCCCAGGAACACACATTGCCTTAAGGGCGAGGGAGCAAGCCCCTTTCCAGCCGCAACACACTCATTTCCCAGGAGGAAGGGCTCTCCGCTCTCCATACCTGGACCCAAAATGGTGGGGGACCATCTTTCTGAGGTTAACGGAGGCCAACAGAGGTCAACGGAGGTCAACCGAGGCTCCGTGGCACTGCCTTATCATTATACCAGGGGGGGATTCTGACTTAGAGGCATTCAGTCATAATCCCACAGATGGTAGCTTTGCCCCATTGGCTCCTCAGCCAAGGGTGGCTATATCTTTAGAAGAAGAAGTTTGTATGAGACTTCAGGATACACACTGACTTGGGTAGAGTCCAAGCTACTCCCAGCCAGTGCTGGGGGACCACATTCTCAAGGGGGCATGCTCAAAAGTCACTGAGAGGCCAGAATGAAGGTTTTACAGATGGCTTATCAGTGGTCAGCAAACTCATTAGTCAACAGAGCCAAATATCAACAGTACAATGATTGAAATTTCTTTTGAGAGCCAAATTTTTTAAACTTAAACTATATAGGTAGGTACATTGTTATTAACTTAATTAGGGTACTCCTAAGGCTTAGGAAGAGCCACACTCAAGGGGCCAAAGAACCACGTGTGGCTCTCGAGCCGCAGTTTGCTGATCACTGGTAGGTGGAGGGGTTTGGGTTCCCTATGGGAGACACGGAAAGGAACTAGCATTGGGGAAGGTTCACTATTTCTTTCATTTTTAACACAAGACTATTAAGTATAAATAGCTCCAAATAAGTATAAAAAGCCCTACCCTTTATGCAATGCTAGAACAAGCTTTTCCCTTTTTAAAACATTTTACATATGTATCATTTTTATTTTTAATTACCAGCGAAAGGTTAGTCAGTGTATATCATAAGAGCACCAATAATATCAATGGAAGGCTTTCAAGAAGAAAATAATCAGCATTTGGCAACCTTTTATTTCAACAGAGATTTTTATTTTAGTAGCCCATGAAAAGGAAGGATAATGCAAGTGTATTATAGTTTCTTCTCTTTTAATCCTCTTTAATGTCTGGGTTATAAACTCCACAGTTGTTTTTTAAATATATTTTTAAAATTAATTTCAGAGAAGCGAGAGGGAGAGAGAGATAGAAACATCAATGATGAGAGAGAATTATTGATCGGTTGCCTCCTGCACACCCCACACTGGGGATCAAGCCCACAACCCGGACATGCGCCCTGACCTGAAATCGAACCATGACCTCCTGGTACGTAGGTCAAAGCTCAACCACTGAGCCACACCAGCTAGGCCTAAGCCTACTTATATATTAATAAGTGTGTCTATACCCTTTCATTATGAATTCATTGAGAGATCCATCATCTTCTGGAGTCACTGCATCGAAGTGTATTGTCCAAACTTCTTGTCCATAATGCTCAATTGATCCCCTACTTCCCTGGCTTCCAGTTGACATCAAGTTTCTCCTGTTTGGAAAGACACCTGGGAACTCAAGCAGGTGGTTTGTATTTTCTACCTTCATTATGGACCAGAGTTAGCTTCAGGCAAATGGGCACATTGAGACCACCTGGCTCACAGCCATGGGTAGGGGCTGCGTGTTTGTGTGGATCAGGACCTACTTGCTGGCTTAATAAATAAAGTTGCAGACAGACCCCTTCCTCTTTAATATTAACTTTTAAAAGTTTACAATCTTAGAAGTTTGTTTTCTTAGCCCTGTCTGGTTTGGCTCTGTGGATAAGTGTTGGCCTGCTGACTGAAGGGTCCCAGGTTTGATTCTGGTCAAGGGCACATGCCTGGGTTTCGGTCTCGATCCCCAGTAGGGAATGTGCAGGAGTCAGCCAATCAATGATTCTCTCTCATCATTGATGTTTCTCTCTCTCCCTTTCCTTTCCTCTCTGAAATCAATAAAGAAAAAAAAGAAGTTTTTTTTAAAAAAGGGCAATTCAAGGGTTTCACTATCATTCCAATGAAGCATTAAAATAATTAGTGACATTTGAAGTATGTTTGCAACAGTGCATATAAGAGGGGAAACATTTCTGAGATATATAACTTATTTTTATCCACCCAGTGCTCAAAAATCCAACACTCAGAGTGGTATGCTTCAAAATGCTTTAACCTTTCCCAGGGTTGATTATAATATGGAAAATATACCATTGACTGATACTGAGAAATTCTTGACGATCAAGAGCTTTAACAATATTTTTACAAGCCAATTACACAAATAAATATTCTGTTAAAAATAAAATGGACAGGATTTTTTAAATCACTAAACACAGATTATATGCTCAGGAGTAATGTGAAAAACACAAAAAATCGTCATGAGGAAAACTTTTAAATTCCCGAAGGACAGAAAAGTAGATTTAAACAAGGGTAAAGATGTGCACTTTTTGCAAACTGTGGCCAGTTTCCTGTTTAAGCTACAGTAACTTTTCCAACTACGGATCATTGTTCCTTCTGTGGCAGATTTTTACAGTTCCTCCAATGCATTTGGGATGACTGTCTCAAAGCAACCTGCAGCTTTCCTGACAACTCCTAGCTCTCTCTCCTTCTAAGAACTGTAGCTCTTTCCTACTGAGTTTTTAGAAACTTCTGCTACCATCCATATCTACCATTTCCACCACCAGATCCATAGCCACCACCACAGGGGCTGCCAGAGCTTCTTCCACCAAAACTGCCCTTCATGGCTCCATAATTTGATTGCTGTTGTCCACTGTAATTTCCAAATTCATTATAGCTCCCAACACCACCATAGTTACCACCAAAATTTCCCCCTTCGTTGTAACCATCATATCTTCCACCACCACCACCACCATATCCAGCACCTTGGTTTCCATATCCTGGTCCACCAGCACTTCCGTAACTTTCTCTACTACTATAATCAGGACCACTGCCATAGTCGCCACCATCACCTCCAAATCCATTATATCCACCATCACCTCCTCCATAACTACCTCTGCTGCCACCTCCACCACCATAGCCTCCTCTTCCACCAAAGTTTCCACCATGGCCAAAGTTTCCTCCACCACCCATGAAGTTGCCAGATCCACCTCCACAGCTTCTGAGATCAAGCAGACTGCATTTCTTGTTAAGAAAGGGCCTTTTTGTCCTGCCAGCGATCCCCTGTGGGGTGTGCAGGAGGCAGCTGATCCATGATTCTCTCTCACCATTCATGTTTCTATCTCTCTTTCCCTCTCCCTTCCTCTCTGAAATCAATAAAAAAAAAATTTTTTAAAGGGCCTTTTTCACTTCACAATTATGCCCATTAATACTGGGGTATTTCTGAACAACAATTTTATTAACTGTATCATGATCATCAAAAATTACAAAAGCAAATTATCTTTTTTCCCCCCACTCTGCCTGTCTTCCATAACTTCCATGGTTTCAATCATGCCATACTTTTCAAAGTAGTCTCTCAAATTATATTCTTCTGTATCTTCTTTAATACCACCACCAATTTTCTTCACTGTTAGATGGGCACCAGGCTTTACAGAATCCTCTCTAGAAACAGCTCTCTTTGGTTCTACTACACGCCCATCAACCTTGTGTGGTCGAGCACACATTGCTGCATCCACCTCTTCAACACAAGAGTAAGTCGCAAAACCAAAGCCCCTGGAACGTTTTGTTTGGGGGTCTCTCATCACCACGAAATTAGTGGGTGTGCCCCATTTCTCAAATTGTTCTCTCAAACTGTCATCTGTAGTTTCAAAGCTCAGACCACCAATAAACAGTTTTCTCAACTGCTCTGGTTCCTTAGGATCATGGCCCTACTCCCCTGCCCTCCGCTCTCCCACCCCCCAGTGGCTCAAGTCAGGCTGGGGGCGACCAGGCAGTGGTTTTACCTCCATTTTGAGACTGGACTCACCTCTTCCAATCTGAGTTCAATATGGAACCCTATTTTCCATTGTTCAAACGGAAAAACAAACAGGCAGGAATATACAGGAGAATTATCACAATGAAAAAACAGCCATGTTGTGAGAGAACCAGTCTTACTACATGAAAATATGGTGGGGGGGGGGGCAAAAGTAGGTTTACATGCAGGTTATGATTATTACTAATAAATTAATAATAGAAGACTAAACTCAAAACTGTAAACCTACTTTTGCTCACCCCAGTATACAGCAGAACACAAAGTCCAAGAATAGATCTGAATATCTACAAAAATTTCCTATACAGTGTGGCACACTCCCAAATTAGTGAGAGTAAACATGCGCTTGGGACAAAGGGGTAGCCATCGATAGTATGTTCTTAGTTCTACACCTCTCACAATAAACCCAGAGAAACTTTATATACATAGAAGAAGTAAATGTACAACGAACACCCCCGTCAGCACTAGGCACCAACTGCCTGCACTGCTCTTTGCTCTGCTGCTGCCCAGCTCCCACATCAATGGCCGCCATGGGTTTCGGAGACCTGAAAAGACCCGGCGGCCTCGCCTCCAGATGCCCGGCGACTACCAGGTGCTACATGGAGGGGTATGTGCACCACCAGCAGATGTGGCAGTATTTGAAGCAGTCCTCGACCCACCACCTGCCGACTCGTATCATCCCCCACGTTGGTATAACCATCACATCACGTCTTATGAAAAGGAAAGGTCAGCCTGCCAGGAGTAAGGAAAGCTTTGGGCAAGTGTGGCCCTTGCTCATGTGGACGATGCCACAGGAAGTGCAGCTACAGAGAGTAAAGAGGTAGATGACATTGCTCTCTTTGGAGATGTTGAGGAGGAAAGCAGAGGCTAAGAGAAGAACGCCTTGCACAGCCTGAGTCAAAGAAATCCAAAAAAAACCCTGCGCTGACCACCAGGGGGCAGCGCGGAACATGGCGGGCTACCGGAGGTGGAGGCAGGGCAGGAGGAGAGGAGGCAGGGAACCTGATCAGCCCTGATGGCCCGCCAGGCTTAAGGACCCTACTAGCATGAATATAAAATTCACCATGTTAAAAAATCAGACTTAGAAAAACAATGATAAATGGGGAAAAATATTTTCAATTCACATCACCAGTCTTCCTCATATATAGCAAGGTTCGTGATATCATTTAAGGGAAAGAGTAGCGGCCAAAAAGACATTAACAATTCACAGAAAACACACACACACACACACACACACACACACACACACACACACCCTCTTAAATATAGGAAAAGATTCCCCAGCCACTCATATAAGGGAAATACAAACAAAAATCACACTCTTGTATAATTTCTTACATATTAGGAGTTCCCAACCAAAACCTGCCCATCTGAGGGGCCTGAATTACCTACCTGCCATTTCCTGATCTCTCTTGGATCTGGCTTGTGTCAAATGGCCCCAGATTGCTTTACCCATGAAATGATTATAATCCCACTGTAAACCAAGTGCGGTCCTTTATATGAAAATCCTCGACCCTTAGATCTCGATTGCCCTCTCACGCCATCAAATCTTCTCTGCAGAAGTTGAGTTTCTAAATTTTGGAAATCTTCTGCCTCACCATTAGTAACTGGAAACATGAGGGCACGTGTGTGATCCCCCTCCCCCCACGCCTTTAACGCCTTTGATAAATACCACAATTGTTTTCTTCTGAACTTTTTGGGTTCTCCTTATACATATTTTTTGTATTATCACCACCACCTTTTATTATCTTCGAAAACAAGAAATTATTTCTTTAAAAAGCTTCATCATTTCTTTCATTAATAATCAACCTTTTTTCAGATCCCTCCTATTGCACCGAACTGTACATAGATGAAAGGTTAATCCACCAGTACTCCCATCACGTGGGGAAGCCCCTGAAGATTTGGGGGCTAGTTCTTCCACGTGGTTAAATGCATGCAATGATAGGGAGCTATGAAGTTTCAGTTCAAAAATTTATTAAAGGAAAGGTTCCTTCTCTAGGGATACATTCCGGGGAGCCCAGTCCCTGCGGGCAGCGCTTTCCATCTAACATACTAGGGAGACCCTCG